GACACCACTAATTATTAAAAACGACACTTTAATCCCTAGCTCGAAACGACGCCGTTTTCCATTTGAATTTTGGTTGTGTCCATTATTCCTTTTCTTCTTCTTTTCCTCTTGGTTTGCGTCTGCTTCTCTTCTTCTTTGCAGCCATCTCCAATGATCCTCTTCATCCTCTTCGTAACATCCCTCCCCCTTAGACCAACCTTGTCCCCAAGGTTCAGACGATGGAGGACTAGCGATCCTCTTTGGCTCTGGTAACTCAAAAATTGGTACCTCCTTCTCATCAATTTTCTTCTTCAATAATGATACATGAAAGACAAGATGAATTTGAGCTTCAGCGGGTAATTTCAACTTGTACTCAACTTGTCCCAGCTTCTGGGTTATTCTGTAAGGTCCATAGTATTTAGTAGCCAACTTCCTATTAACAATCCTAGCTACAGATTGTTGAGCAAAGGGATGTAGTTTAAGGTATACCCAGTCTCCCAGCTGAAATTCCTTTCACTCCAATGTTTATCAGCATACAACTTTATCCGAGCTCTGGCTTGTGCCAAATTTTCTTTGAGGAGTTGGCCCATATTGTGCCTTTATTGAAGTAATTCATCTACTGATGCCACGTTGATTTGTTGGTATGAGTCTAGCTCCAATTGAGGAGGTCTGATTCATAAAGAGCCTCAAAAAGGGTCATTTTAATAGAGGCGTGGAGGGTGGTATTGTACCACCACTCCGCCATACTTATCCACTTATTCCACTACTTGGGATGCCGGTGAGCCATGCATCTAAGGTACATTTCAAGGCACTGATTCAGTCTATCCATCTGGCCATTCGTTTGAAGGTGATATGCAGAGCTCGATTGTAATTTAGTTCCCAGCTGTTTAAACAATTATTGCCAAAATGTACTTGTAAAAATCATGTCTCTGTCTGAAATGATGCTCTTTAGCATCCCATGAAGCTTGAAGATGTTATCTAGGAATAGCTTTGCAACGTTGGTAGCTGAGAAGGGGTGTGTTAAAGATATGAAATGGCCGTATTTGGTAAACCTATCTACCACCATCAAGATGGCATTCTTGGCTCCAGAACTGGGTAGTCCTTCTATAAAGTCCATAGAGATGTGGCTCCAAGGATATTGCGGTTCCGATGATGGTTGTAGCAGGCCAGGATAGGCAACATGCTCCCATTTACACCTTTGACATGTGTTACATTCCAGGACCTCCTGTCTGATTTCCTTCACCATTTTAGGACAGAAAAATGAGTTTTTACCCTGTGAATGCTGGCCTGAACCCC